AAAAAAAAAAAAAACAAGACTTGGGTGTGGTTTTAACTTCCCGTGCGCCACCTCTTGCCCCGTTCCTACTCTCCCACACCCCAGCACCACAGCAGACCTAAAAACTAATAGATGCACCAGAGGGCAGCCACAGAAGGGCCAGCCTAACAGCCACTGCAGAAGTGGAGTCAGAACAGATTTTGAGCTCCCTAAAAGTCTCAGCTGCAAGAACTGTCAGGACACTCCCTGAAAAGCTCCCTCCCCAGGTATTATGTTTCTTTTTCCTCACTCAGAGTTTGCTCTATGAGAACAGCCCCGTAGAGGGGGCATTTGTTGGAAAAAAAAAAAAAAAGAAAAAAAGAAAAAACAGCAACAATGATTTACTATCACAGTTATAAGATAAGGCAATGCCAGTTGAAGTTAACAAAAGTCTAACCAATAACCCCAAAAAGGAAAAAAATGGGAAAGATGGCCAACAGGATGACTTGAAAAGTTCCAAACTATTACTTGGAAGCTCCAAGGCAATGTCCACGCGCAGGGCGCTAGGTCGGTCCAGGACAGATCTGGACAGGCCCTCATCGCTCACCTGTTCCTGACCATGAGATTCCTCTCAAGCAGAAAGTGAAGGTTAAAGCAGAGTTGTAACTGTCACAGCAGTATTAATACACATCCCAGCACACACACAGAGCACCTCAAAAAAGCTGAGACACCTGTTCAAGAAATTTGAGCAATTCTGTTCAACCACTATCTGATTATTAAGTTACCTAAGCAGAGATTTCAGGGGCTGCCCATAATAAAAGGAGACAGATACTACAGAATTAGCCCAAGTATATCATTAAACCAATCAATAGCAACAAAAATAAACAAAAAGCAAAATCAAGAAACTGGGTGGAGGGACAAGAGTCAGAGTCTTAGAGTTTCCATGCTTTGTTATTTTTAATGTCTGGTTTCCACAAAACTTATAGACACATAAAGGAATGGGAAAGTACAACTTACAGATGGGGGGAAAAAGTAAGCAAGAGAAATTGATACTGAGAAAAACCCAGATGTTAAAATTACTAGACCAAGACTTTAAATCAGCCATTATCAACTAAAAGAGACCATGACTAAACAATTAATGGAAAGATCCAGAATGACTTATTGAACACAGAATATTAATGAAGAGATGCATGTAAAAATAGAGTGAACAGAAATTTGGGAGTTTAAAAGTATAACTGAAATGTAAACTTTGCTAGCAACGATCAATAGTAGATTTGAACTGGAGGAAAAAACAAACAGTGAATTTGTATTTTTTATTTTTTTAGAGAGACTTTTGCTATAGGGCATGTACATTCTCTAGAGAGACAGAGAAAGAGAGAGAGAGAGAGAGAAAGAGATAGAAAATGAGAAATCATCCAAGGGGAAATGGCCACACCACAATCCCTTCTGCTCTAAGGATTTTGGGTACACATGCACACACATCCAGCACAAGTTTTAAGCTGCTGGGTCCAGACCTTGAACCATGGTTGACTACATGGGAGTCCAGCAACGTAACCATTATGCCATATGCTATTCTCCAAAAGAGTGAATTTGAAGATAGGTCAATTATGATTATCCAGTCTAAGAAGCAGAAAGAAAAAAGAATGAACAAAAATGGACAGCATATCTGAGTACTAAGGAACACCATCAAGCATAATGCAAATATAAATAAATACTTTTGGGAACCAGCAGTTAGTGTAATGGCTATGTCGCTGGACTCCCACGTAGCCGACCGCGGTTCGTGTCCCGGACCCGGTGGCTTAAAACTCACGCCGGGCGCGTGTGCGTGCATGCCCAAGATCCCGAGAGGAGAATGGAGGAGAAGGGATTGCGGCGTGACCATCCCCCCTGGGGGGTGATTTCTCGCTTTCTGTCTCTATGTCTCTCTCTGTCTGTCTGGCGAGTGCACGCGCCCTACAGTGAAAATCTCTCCAAAAAAAAAAAAAAAAAAAAAAAAATCTATACTCTCCTGTAACAAAAAGAGAGAAAGAAAGAGGCAAAGAATATTTTTAAAGAATTAATGGTGGGACCAGCAGATGTCGTAAGGGTTCTATCACTGGACTCCCACGTAGTTGACTGCAGTTCGAGTCCTGAACCCAGTGGCTTCAAACTCATGCTCGGTGCATGTGTGTGCATGGCCAAGATCCTGAGAAGAAAATGGAGGAGGAGGGACTGCAGCATGGTCCTCCCTCTTGGGGTGTGATTTCTCACTTTCTGTCTCTTTGTCTCTCCAGCGAGCACATGCACCCTACAGCAAAAATATCTCTTAAAAAATAATTAATTTCGAGTCCTGAACCCAGTGGCTTCAAACTCATGCTCGGTGCATGTGTGTGCATGGCCAAGATCCTGAGAAGAAAATGGAGGAGGAGGGACTGCAGCATGGTCCTCCCTCTTGGGGTGTGATTTCTCACTTTCTGTCTCTTTGTCTCTCCAGCGAGCACATGCACCCTACAGCAAAAATATCTCTTAAAAAATAATTAATTTTCAGAGACTAGCAGATGGCATAATGGTTACGTCACTTGACACCCATGTAGTCAACAATGGTTTGAATCTTGGACCCAGTGGCTTGAAACTCAGGCCAGGTATGTGTACATGCATGCCCCAGATCCCAAGAGGAGAAGGGATTGTGGTGTGTCCACCCCCACCCCCACGGGGGTGATTTCTTGCTCTCTGTCTCTCTTTCTGTCTCTGGAGAGTGTACATGTCCTATAGCAAAAATCTCTTTTTAAGAAAAAAAAAAGAATTAATGGCCAAAAACTATCCAAACTTGATTGTAAAATATTAATTTACACATTTGAGAAACACGATAAAATCCAAGTAGGATAAATGCACAAAGACTCACTAGACATGGGACCAGCAGGTAGCATGGTAGTTAAAGTGCTAGATTCCCACATGGCCAATCATGGTTCAAGTCCCAGTCTGGTGACTTGAAATCATGATGATCACTTGTGCATGCATGCCCAGAATCCAGACAGGAGAATGGAAAAGAAGGGACTGCAACATCACCAGCCCCCACAGGGAATGTTTTTCACTTTCTCTCTCTCTGTCTCTCTCCAGTGAGCACACATGTTCTACAGGAAAAAAAATTAAAATAAAAAATGATTCACAGGGCCAGCAGGTAGCTTGGTAGTTAAGGCACTGGACTCCCACATGTCTAACTGTGGTTCAAGTCCCGGACCTGGCAGCTTAACAATCATGCCAGCTACATGTATGTGCATACATGCCCAAAATTCCAGGAAGAGAGCAGAGAAGGGATTGTGGTATGGCCATACACCCTGGAGGGTGATTTCTCACTTTCTCTTTCAGTTCTCTCTCTGTCTTTATCCTCTCTGGCAAGCACACATACCCTATGGCATAAACCTTAAAAAAAAAACAGACTCACTAGACATGTTATCACCAAACTTTCAAAAGACAAAATTTGTTTAAAGAATTATTTTATTTGACTTTCTTTATTTCTTTATTTCTATATTTATTTTAATTTGACCAGAGAGAGACAGAGAAAGAAAGAAAGAGAATGGAAAAGTGAGAAAGTAAGCCACCAGGTCTGGGACTCAAATCGTGGTCAGCCATGTGGGAGTCTAGCACCTTTAACCACTATGCCACCTGCTGGCCCCAAAAGCAAGAATCTTTTTCTTTTTAATTAATTTTTTTCTTTTCTTTCTTTGAGAGGTTTTTGCTATAGGGCACATGCACTCACCAGAAAGACAGAGAAAGATAGAAAGTGAGAAATCACCCCCAGAGGGGATGGTCACACCACAATCCCTTCTCCATTCTCCTCTCAGGATCCTGGGCATGCACACACACCTGCCCAGCATGAGTTTAAGCCACGGGGTCCAGCATCAAACCATGATTGACGACAGGGGAGTCCAGCGACATAGCCATTATGCCAACTGCTGGTGCCAGCAAGAATCTTAAAAGCAGTAAGTGAAAGGTGATTCACAATGTCCAAGAGATTCCCCAGTAAGACTAACAGCTGACTTACTATCAGAAACAAAGGGCTCAGAAGGCAGTGGGCCAGCCACAGCAGCCCAGGGTGGTGCACGGTTTCGGCATACTGGAAGCCATACACAGAGGCCCGGCTCAGCCCACTCACACCGAGTAGATGCCTGTGCCCGAGGTTCTGTCCAGCTACAAGCCTGGGCGAAGTGGGCTTGTCTTTCTCAGTCTCTGTCCCTCCCTCTCTCTCTCCCGCTATCTCTCTTTCTCACTCATAAAATATGAGTAAATAAACAGGTAAACTTAAACAGAATCTTTGGAAAAAATGTGGAAGTTCTCCAAAACTTAATCATAGCTCCGGTCATCATACGGCTAAGCAATTCCACTCCTAAGCGTATATCCAAGGGAACTGAAAACATATATCCACACACAACAAAATTGCCTGTGAATGTTAATAGAACCATTATTCCTTCCACTAAAAAGAAACAACCCAAACATCCAGCAGCAGATGAATGAACAAACAAAATGTAGTATACTGATACAGTGAGATGTTAGTCATAAAAAGGAACGAGACAAACTACGACATGGGTGAACCTTGAAATCCTCGTGCTCAATGTAAGAAGACAGACACAAGGACCACAAGCTATGTGATTCCATGGACGGGACACGTTCAGAAGAGGCAACTCCACGGAGAGGAGATGCATGGTGCCTGGGGGGGAAGAGGGACGGCAATGACTGCGGCGAAAAACACTCAAAAATGAAAGAGCTGTGATGGTTATAGAGCCCTACGAAATACTAAAACCACTGAATGACACACTTCACATGAATGAATTTTATTTTTCATGGATTCTATTTCAACAATTCTATTTTAAAAAACAACCTTACAAAATGAGAAATACATACATGCATGTCTGTGTACACACACACACACACATAATGTTCTACCAGTTGTTTGTCAGTACTAAAAATTTCCTTAGGATCCTATTCTTTTTCTTTTTTTTTTTAACTTCCCGGAGGGTGCGTGCTCTTGCCAGAGAAGGAGAGACAGTAGGCACTGCCCGTGGAGAACGGTTACAGGCAACCTAGTCTCTCATCTCTCCATCCTGTTGGGACTTTGGGTATACCCACACACACACACCTGTTGTATCTCCCAGTCCCCCAGGTCTGGGACTCAAACTGCATGGTTGGCCATGTGGAATCTGGCTCCCATAACCACCTGGCCACAGGGCCAGCCCATGAGTCCCTTCCTTATTTAGTGGCTCTAAGTCTCTAAGGCTCTCTGGCCGTGGGGGTGTGGGGGGAAGAAAGAGTTAGACTGGATAAAAAAGAAATTAATTCTTTTGTCCTAGAAGTCAAGGACCCTGGATCCCCCTGGTGTTCCACTGAAGAGCCTCTGTCATTAATCTCCTGGCTATTCTTTCTGCTTCGTATTTGTGAGTTTCTCAGCAAGAAATGTAATGCATGGAGAAGGCCGTTTTGTCTCCTCTGCAACTGTGACACAGTGACCTCCTGCCTTCCCCTCTACCACTTTCAGTCTTGAGCTCCTCTGGAAAAAAGCATCCTCCCTCATCGTTGTATGGAACATCACACCCACTACTGGCATTTCCCATTCCTACTCCAGCCTCTCCCTCTGGCAGCAGCAAGGTGACTGCTGCGTAGCATTCCACATGGAATTGCTGAGACTTTGATGAGGAGAAATACCATTAAAATTATAAGCGATCAAAGGTGGACAAGACAGCCCACAACACGGGTATGAGTAGCAGAGGGTTGGCAGGCTTCGTGACAGAGGTAAACAAATAACTCTGTGGCGTTCAGGAGGAAAGATTCAAGCCAAAGCAGAACCCAGGGAAAATGTAAAAGAATGGTTCCCTTCTACTTGGTCTGCTTGGTTTTAAGTGAAAGGTCCTTTAGCACAGCCTTTCCGTCATGCTGTCCAGACTGCACAGAAACCCTTTATGTGAGATCCCAACCTTTGTCCTCCTCATTCCTACAAAGTAAACTCAACAGACAGGCAAATGTTGACTCAAGAGATTACATTTTTACATAGAAGGATATGGAACTTACCACTCTCTTTTCCCTGAAATCAATGCCCACTGTCGTGATAAATTTGGAATTGAATTTACCATCTGTGTATTGGTAAAGTACGCTGGTCACCAGAGTCTCCCAAAGCTAAAAACTTGATGAGGTAATCATAGTCTCCATCAGACATAATGAAGGACTCAGTCGTTCACCTGCAAAATACAAACAAATACATATTTACTAAAATACACCAGAAAGTAATAATAGAGTGATCCACTACAAAGTGACAACTCAGTGTTCAGGTCAGCAAGTAGTTTTATGAAACACTCTATGTCCAGAGGTTCTGTAAAGAGAGGGTGTCATAGAGTTCACTGGCCCTGAAAACCTAATAACATGCTAGATGAGATGCATCCGGAGTAGTTAATAACTAACAATTTCGTTTTAACACACATAATTACAGTACCATTAAGACAAATGTTCCAAGTGAGAATAAAAATAAAAAGTAATGATCACTATGACTTATTTGCAGACCATTCAGAACAAAACCAATAAAAGAAAGGAGGAAGGAGAATGTTATAAAAATTACAATTGGGCCCGCCCATGGCGTGGTGGTTACAGTGGCTGGATCCTGAAAGGTCGACAGTACAGTTTGAGTCCAAAACCTGGTGGCTTGAAAAACACACTGGGTCCAGATGCCTGCATGCCCAAAGTCCCAAAAGGAGAAGGGAGGAGAAGGGATTACAATGGGGCCATCCCCACCTGGTCGGGGAGGTAGTGATTTCTCAGTTCCCTCCCACCCCATCTCCAGCCTGTAAGTACATGTAACCTATAACAGAAAAAAAAACTAAAAACAAACAGAGAAGAATAAAATTAGTTCCTAGAGTATGAGTGGTTCCAATTTCCCCTCCTTTTTCAAGTCTCCTCATGCTGCATCCTTACTTTCTGTCTCTGTACTTAGCTATCTAGGCATTTTCATTTATCCTGTTCATTTTCACATGTTATTACAGTCCCTTCAAAGGCAAAGTTAATTCACATAGAAAATCTGGCTTGATGCTTCCTTATATATTATTATTATTATTGTCACTATGTACTGCAAATTACATCAGACTTCACTGGACCATCATCACTCACTTGGGAACGAGGCCCATTTGATCAGTCGCTACTCAATGGCCATAGTTCCACAACGAATGGCTCCCTTACCTAAACCTGCTTCAGTATCTTACCAAGAACTGCTGAAAATCCAGCTCTCTGACCGTGACTAAAAGAGAAGTCTACCTTAAAGAAGAAGAAGTCGTTTTACCAGCCATACTAACCATGGTTTGTTTTTTTTTATCCTTACCAATATGTACTTTTTATTATTTACTTTTAGCCTCTAGATTCAAGTCTAAATATCAGTCCAACTGGAAATAGAGTCTCTTTCCAGAGAGGTCTTACTTCTTTGTATCTTCCCATCTCGAATGCCAATACACTCCTCCAAATCAGAAAAATAACCTGCTACTCCATCATCAACTCCATCTGCCCATTCAAAGATACACATTCACCTTTTCCCATGCGGGCCGGATGCCACTTCAGGTACGGCCGATTTTCCTTACGTTGACCCAATCCCACATCCAGAAACTTTGCTGTAATACTCCGTGCTTCTTACAGGGTTATTTCTATAGATCCTTAAGATGAATAAAAACTCAAGCAATGGTTGAGCCACAGTGTCACATGTGATAGATAGCTGCAGCCCAGTGCCACAGACCGTGCGGGAAAGCTCTGGGTTCATGTCCCAGCTCTACCCAAACAGAGTGGGCATGTCCAGGGTCTTAGCTGGCTGCAAGGCTTGGGGAGGGATCACAATGTGAAGACTCTGTCAAAAGAATCTGCTTCCCTGTCTTTCTTACTCTCTGAAAATAAATGAGTAAACTTATTTTTAAAAAAAACAAAAACAAACAAACAAAAAACACAGCATCAGGCAAGGACATATATTGATTTTCAGGGCTGTTTCTCCCACCCGTCCTCAAATTGGTGACTCACCTTCTGCTTAGAAATCCTGAATGTGGAGCCCCAAGAGTCCCTACAAAGTACTTCCTCAGAGTGCCTTAGTGCAGGTCTGCAGCCTCACATTTCAGATACGGCTGGCCAGCCGATACGGGCAGAGCCTCTACAAACATTCATAATTCTATTTGCACACTATAAAGAGTGACACTTCACAGATGATGGCTTCTGTATCTGCAGGTATAGGTCACCAGTACCAGTGACATGCAATAGAATTCCTCCCCAGAAGACGACCACTTGGGTATAAGCATTCTAACATGTCCCATCACAGCATCTTACTTGGCTCAAGCTATTCAGAAATAAGAACTAGAATTAAAAAGCAGGTCCAGACACTGTTTAATCATCTGGGGTGTTCCCTCCAACTGAACAAGGAAGCAGAAAGCAACTCCAATTCTGTAAGAAGAATGATGTAAGAGGACATTGCGGCTACCTTATTTCCTCTTTCAATTGGAAAGATGTTAACATCTCTATCGCTATGTTTGGAGATAACAGATATCATATAGAAGAAAATGCTGTTACCGAGGGCATCAGTATTTCAGAATTCTCCAAACCCAGGGAGTGGCATTCAAAGACAGATGAAACTGGCTCTGCCATACCAACAATTTGATGTGTTTCATTTTCGTGGGTGAAGAATCAAGCATGTAATTCTGCAGATGATCTTTGTGAGTTCTGTTTTCTATCCATGATAACAATATTAACCAAGCCGTCATAAAGGATATTTCCACAAGCCAAGTATTACAAACTGAAGGTATAAATATCCCCTTCAATATTAATTACAGTATGGACTTTTCAGACTGTAACTTTAAGACAATTATCTGCTTTATTGATTGGGGGAAAAAAAAAAAAAGGCTCAGTCCTTTCACTCTCTGGGTTACTTTTCTAAAGGATAATACAGGACCCAGAAAGGAGAATAAACTTGGACAATACAGAACCTAGATTTCTTAACTCCAAATCTAATGTCTATTCTGCCACAAGCTTTGTGTTCAATACCCCTTTTTAAAAAAAAAAAAACAAATGCATTTGGGGCTTAAAAATGACCAGTGGTGGGCCAGCAGGTGGTGTGGAGGTTAAGGCACTGGATCCCACATGGCCAGCCGTGCAGTTTAAGTCCTGGACCCAGCAGCTTGAGAATCACACCAGACATGTGTGTGTGCCCAAAATCTGGAGAGGGGCCTGGAGAAGGGACTGCAGCATGGCCATCCCCCCAGAAGGTGATCTCTCTCTCTCTCTCTCTCTCTCTCTCTCTCTTTCTCTCGTAAGCACACGTGCCTTATAGCAAAAAATAAAAAAGCAATGACCAGTGGTATGATATCTTACAAGGTGGACATAAAGGAGACATGAATTTAAGCAGATCTGAATTTGAATCCCAGGCCTTTCACAAAACAACTACCTGGACATCTCTGGACCTTAGATTTCTAGGTTTCCATTCTATAAAAAAGAAAATAATACACACTACTTTGTACCGTTGCTCTAAGGACTGAATGAGACACTATTTGTGGGGTGCCCAGCAACACACTTGCCCTGAAAACAACAATTTCCGAAATTGGTTCTGACCAGTTCAAAATGTATCTTTCTAGCACGACAGGTTGCCAACTAGCTCACAGCAGTCTGCTGAGTCAACAAAGATCTCTTGGAAACTAAAGAAACTAATTCTGACCTTTTTTCCACTGGCCCTGATGATTTTGAATCCATTTTAAATAGGTCTATTTTAAAAGAGTTCTGATCAACTTAACAGGTTCAAATTCTTATAAAATATTGCAACCCATTTTGGCAAGCTTATACTTTTTCAAAAGACATTGATTGGTCCATAACAATTCAGAGTGAGTGAAAAGACTTGAACTGAAAGAAGTTCTATCAACAAAGCCATTTCTGACTGATCTAAAATCACTTTGGCTAACACCACATCCTCCTTTCTTCCTTCTTTCCTTTCTCCTCCCACTTTCTC